CGGGGCCGGGGGCGAGCGCGTGCGTAGAGGTGGCGCCCGAAGCGATGGAGCCGGGTGGGCCCCAGGCCTAAGCATCCCCGCTGCTCGCGCCCGCGTCTCTTGAGAACAGCCCCCGCCTGCTTGATGCGCAGCTGGCTGCGCGATGCCGGGGTTGTCTCGGCCCTGAAGGGGGAGGCCGACCCCCGCGAGAGTCTACAAGCGCCTCCCAATGGGAGGGTCGCAGCTTCGCAATTTGTCGTGAGGGGCGATTGCTCTCGGGCTTTCCCCCGAGCTTGCTCCTGTGGCCTCTTGGGTGGAGGCAGGCGAGACTCGGGGGTATCAGGTCCCCAAGGCCTCGGGCTAGGGCGACTGCTGCGGATTTGGGAGTATCTGAAGTCCCAGGCTAAAGGAGGACACTTGCTGGTACCACCACACAGACGTGAACCGCTAAGACCTGTTTGAAATTGGGAACTGATTTGACTGGAAACACAACATTTAAAAAACAAAACAAAAAAACCCCTCACAGTTGTCTGGTATTTTGGCCAGGAGCAAGCAAGATGAGGCGGCAGCTGAACCCCGGGGCCTGCACATAAGATGCCTGCCACAGATTTGGGGAGCATCCAAAGCCCCAGACTGATGTGCCTGGGAGGGAGGTTACTTGCCTGGTGGTTGAGCCACAGACTTGAACCACTGAACTCTGCTCAGCTGGATTTGGGACTTGAGTATTGGGGCTGTGCCCAGCTGAGTCTGGAATTGATTTGGCTGACTTGGCCTCGGACCGAAATATATTAATTGGATTTTTTTTTTTTCTTTTATGTCTGAAGCTGAGAGACATGGTTACCCTTTCGGTACAGGAAGAGGGGGTGAAACTATTCCACACCAACTACCCTCACCCTCTCTTTTTATCTATATGTTTGGTCATTCATATATTTATGTGTATGCCATCCTGCCCAACAAAGGCTCAGGGCAGCTTACAATTAGAGAATAGGATAACTTAAAAACAGGAGAGCAGCAAGACCAGCAAAGATATAGTTGGGGCTGGTCCTGCTTTGAGCTGAGGGTTGGACTAAATGACCTCCTGAGGTCCCTTCCAGCCCTCATTTTCTATGATTTTGAAACAGCTTAAAAGGCAACTAGAAAATCAAAATACAACAGAGAGCCCCTAAACAATATTCATCCTAGTTTTGTTGGGTGAATGTCTTTCCAACTAGGAAGGTCTTACTCCCAAAAGTGCTCCCAAAAGATGTTCAGGCTCTGGCAGGCCTCACAGGGAAGAGAGCTCTAGAGATGAAGAACAGCAGCAGAGAATGAGCTCTCACATGCTTTTGCCAAGTGGACTGGGCATGCTGATGGTGCCTGTAGGAGGTCACTCTTGACTAACCTTAAGAATTGTGATGGGGCATAAGAGAGAGGGTGGTTTCTTAGGGATGAAGCCATAGATCATTTAGGGCTTTAGATCAAATCCAGCACCCTGAATTGTACCCAGAAAGCTATTGCAAGCAGTGCAGACTCTGCTGGGCTGGAGTCACCTGCTCCTGGTGACCCACCCTTGTCAGAAGGCAGACAGCTGCATTCTGTACCAGCTACAGCTTCTGGATGGTCTTCAAGGGCAGCCCTACATAGATTGCATTGCGGTACTTTAGCCTTGAGGTTATGGAGGCTGGCAGACAGGTCAGAATCTGGGAGAAAGCGTCACAGCCTTCTCATCAGCTAGAGTTGGTTTGAAACGTGCTCCTAGCTGTGGCTGCCACCTCGAGATGCAGGTGCAGCAAAGGATCCAGGAACACTCCGAGGCTGCAAACATAAGTGACAAAGGGAAGTTGCACCCCCCCCCTCAATGACAGGTGTCCCAATCCCTGCCTCCCCCCAAGTCATGTGGTCTGCCCACCACAATCCCCTCTTGTCTTGTCTGGATTACAGTTTCAGTAAGTCTACCTGTATCCAGTTTTTGCCCCCTTTTATGGTTCTAAGCGGTAATAGTGTGGAAAAGACCTGATTCTTGACCTTTCACTGTCACCATAAGGTTCTGAATAACCTTCTAACCAATCAGTAATTCATGGTATTTTACTGCTGCTTGGCAAAGCTGTCTATCCAGGGCACAGCTGTGAAGAGAGGTGTCATATACCCCAAATGGTAAATTTGCTGGAAATGTACAGGCATAGGGATATACATGATAAACAGCATTGCATGTTTTGGAGTCTGTAGTTGTGCTTTATTGAATCACTGTCCTGCAAAGAGAAATTGGGATATTTTGAGTTTGTCCACTGCCCCTTCTTCCCACATGCTAGGCCTGAATCACAGAGATAATCGATGATAATAATAATAACAACTGAGTTATTAATCGGGGAATAAAAAGAGGACTGCCTGTGCTGCCACAAGGCTTATGTGGGTAGTATGGGAACTGTGTGACTTGAACTTTCAACAATAAAATTCCTGCTTGCCTCTTCCTGGTTCCTTGCCCTTGCATTCTTATTTGACCTGCAGCTCCAGATAAACCCGAATTCCTCCACCAGCCACCGCCAGGACTCCTACAGGCCTCCTCCTTTTCCCTGTTGCTCTGTTCTTCCTGGCCTGGCACTCCATCAACCTATCCTCCACTTAAATTCCTTTCTGTCCTACTCCTACTGTCAACTCACTTCAATCCATGCTTTTCATTACTCTTGACACCTTTGATTTTCTCAAGGTTTATCAATCCAAGTATCCTCCACCCTTGGTGACCCACAGCATCCACTCCTGTTCCACTCTCATCCAGCTGAGTGTCTCTACAGCCGGGAAGGGCAAAATATGGCCTTCTGGCTGCTGCCAAGACCCTAAAAAGGGAGGGCTGTGCCCTGCTCCACTCCACTCTGCCAGAGCTGGGCCTGGACGCAGTGTACAGACTCCACCCCCCACATCCACCCTGCTCCCCCCACCATCTGGCTTCCTATTGGCACTGCAGCTGGGTAGTTATGGCATTGCAGCTGCCAGCAGCCAGGCTCGAATGAGATGGGGCACAGTGCAGTGTACCAAGTAGCCATCCCACCAATCTGCCACAATGAGCTGCTGCCACCACGGTACCACTAGTCTGTGCCAGCCATGGCAGGGGGATTGGCTTGGGACAGCTGCCCCAACTTCCCAGTGTGGCACCCACTGAGGTGGGCAGGTGGGACAGCTACTCTATGTGCTGCATTGTGCCCCATCCCATGCAGACCCAGCTGCCAGCAGCTGCAATGCACACTTTTAAGTAGTACTTTTATACTTACTTTTATATACATAGTACAAACTTTTGGGTTTTTTGGCTTAAAGCCGAATTAATTCCAAATTCCAAATCAACTAAACTGAGCTCGGTCGTTCAAGTCTGTGTGGCTCTATCATTGGGCAAGTCTACCCCTTCTTAGACCAATCAGTCTGGGACTTTGGGTATTCCCCAAATCCAATGGCAGGCATCCTGTGTGTAGGCCCTAAGCCCAACGGCATAGTTCAATTGCTCCCTAGGACCTGAAAAATTGGCATCCTATAACGCTCATAGTCATGTTTGCTCTTTTTTTTCTGCAAAAGTATGTATTTCTGTATAAATACACACACACATGCCCATACCTCTACCAACCTGTCTTGTGACCACTATGGTTAACTTGACAGTCCAAACCACACCTTTACAGTTGCACCATTCTCATTCCCATTATAAAACTGCACTGTGTGCCTGAGACAGTCACCTTTAACCATCACAATTATGCAAAGAACCACCTCAGTGCCCTCTCTGTCATCTTTTCCCCCCTCTCTCCCAGCTTCCCCACCTGTTTCCTAAGTCTTTTTCACTCATCATTATATTTGTTGCCATCATTACTCTCTTTGGGGGACCCACCTCTGAACAGTCTATGCTAGTCCCCTCTCTTCTGTATGATGTCTGCCATCTATTCCGTGTCATCTTCTACCATTTTCCTGTAGTACCAGTACATCTCACTCAGTCCCATTTTAATGCAGACCTTGATTGTGAGGTTCGTGAATCTGTTCATGAGCAAGTTTCTAGTGTTCCGGAAGGTATTCCTCAAGCAGGAGATTAATTGGTCGAGGTGGGCTGTTGGGGTCCTTGCTGCTTGGTCAAGTGTCCATATAGAACCACCTTGGTCAGGGTTGTGAACCCCATCACCACATATACTTTCCTCCACACCTCATTGGCTTGTGGGCATTACCAATGGAGATGGTCAGTTGTTTCCACCTTCCACCAGCAGGTTTGCCTGGAGCAGTTTGTGGGTCTCTCTGTTCTTCATTGTTTTTCCATGCCCACACAGGGAGTGCCTGGTGGGTTACCTGCCAGTTCAAGTCTCAGTGCTCCTTCTGCAGGTCCTTATGGAAGATTTGCTCCCACACAGTCTGGTAGCTGTCACTGGGTAGGAGGTCCATGGGCAATATGATGTCTCTTGCCCCTTTCACCTCCTGCATCTTATGGTGGTTCCTCAGAGTCACAGGGGCCTTGTCATGCAGTTTGTATTTGTTCCAGAAGCGTTTCAGGACCTCATAGAACCATGGGGACTCTATGGTCTGTGGGCTTATGTTGATCATTGTGTACACCTGCTACTGTCACAGTAGTTGGCCTGCAACATACTTTACAAAGCAGGCTTTTCTGGATTCTGTCTCTGTTGCCAGTTTGCAGATCTGGTTCATGTACTTGGCCCAGAGGAACAGCAGGACATCTGGCATTCCTCTGCCTCCAGACCATTTTGTTCTGTACAGTGTGGTCCTCACCATTTTCTCCCACCTGAAGTCCTAGAAGAAGACGTACATGGCTCTTCAGATTCTGTGGATGACTTGCCCTGAGGGGTATGCAGAAGCATTGGTAATAACACCACCTTCATGAATGCTACGTGCCCTCCCCATTGACAGGCAGTGCGATTGCCATAGTTTCATCCCTGTTTGACTTTGACCTCAGTCTTTTCCCATACCCTCTGTCCAGTCAGCTCTGGGTCAAACTCCACCCTGAGGATCTTTACTCCCTCACAGGGGATGGAGACCCCTGGGGCCAACAGGTCCCTAAGTTCACCCAGTACTATGCATGTGCTTTTGCTTATGTTGAGCTTGGCCCCCACTGCTGTTCCATATACCTGGGTGTGCTGTAACACTCTTTCAGCCAACCACTTGCCCCTGCATATGATGTTGAGGTTGTCGTTATAGACCAGGACCCTCATCTCTTTCTGGTTACTCCCAGGGATCTCTACTCCACTGATTCTGGGGCCCCACCTGAGCTGCGGTGCTAGTGGTTCCATCATGTAGATAAGCAGGGTCAGGGAAAGTGGGCAGCCTGACTGATACCCAAATCCACCATGATCAGGGCTGTCAGGGACCCATTTACCAGTACCCCACTGTTCACATCGGTGTACAGTGTCTTTACCTGGGTGACCAAGGTTGGGGAGACTCCCATGTTCTTCAGTGTCTCAAATAGGAACCAGTGGGATACTCAGTCATAGGCCTTCTCCGGGTTGAGGTTCAGCATGGCAGCATTCAGCCCTCTCTCACATTGGCACTGTAGTACATCTTGCAGCTGCATCAGGGCTCTAGATCTATCACCCCGGCTCTGAGCACACCTAGTCCTCAGATCACTGCACCTATAACAGACTTAAAACACACAACTAAGACTTTGGCCATCAGTTTGTAGTAAAAGTTAAGGAGCACTATAGGATGCCAATTATTCAGGTCCTGCCTCTCCCCCTTATAAAGAAGGGTTCTGAGGCCTTCATCCATTCTCGCCCCAGGTGGCCCTCCTGCAGGCGCTCTCTATAAACCTCCAGCTGGTCTGGGCCCACCTGAAAGCAAACATAGAACTCCTTCGGCAAGCTGTCTGCCCCAGGAGTTTTACCATTCTTGAAGCTGTGGAGAGTTGTTGATCTCCAGCGTCCACTCCTCCACCAGCTTCTGACTCTTGTCCTCCCCGAAGACGTGAGTGAGCTTCCGCAGGTATTCCTGCATGGCTTCTGTGTCCTCTGGTGATGCATTGTAGAACTCCTGGTAGAAGACCACTACCATCCGCAGTCTCTCCTGGTTTGTACAGTGCTCTACACCTACTCCATCTATCAGGCTGATTATAGCTTCCTTCTTAAGTTTCTTTATCTTGCCAAAATAGGCAAACCAATTCTCTTTGTCCAGGGGGTCCAGGCCAGGAAGAGCCTTCCCTCAGCTGGGTACAAACTTTTTTGTTTGTTTGTTTCAAGGGTCAAATCACTTCCAAATTCTATTAGGTATAGCCCAATAGTCAAGTTCCAAGTTTCAACTGAGATGGTTAAGTCCATGTGGCTCTACCACCGGGCAAGTACCCTCCTTCCCAGACTCATCATCAGTCGGGTTACAGATACTCCCCAAATCTGTGTCAGACATCCTACATGGAAACCCAGGGCTCAGGAACCATGGGGTTTGTATGCTAGTCTTGCTTGCTTTTAGCTGAAACGTCTGGGGGAAAGGAATAAAGCAGTCCCCCATTGGCACAAAATTGTGCAGTCAAGTTTCCTGCATTTGGGAAACTCACAGGTCAGCATTCCTGGGATGCAAGGGACAGGCCTCACCCTGGGAAACCACCTTTTAGCCCATGAGAGGACTGGTATTACACTTGATCAGAGCCAAAAGTCCAAGACGCTGGATACAAACATGGGTTTTTTTTGCAAAATTACTTATATTTTTATATCTATATATAGGTCAGATGCTCCCAAGTCTCATTTGCCCCAAGCCAACAGGCAAAATAAGCAAGCTAGGAAAAAATTCCCCATCTAGATGAATAAAGTGTGTAACCAAGATCCTCTCATTGGGAGACTGTAGTAGACTTGTAGAGGGCCTGCTTGCAGTGCATTGGACAAGTCTCCACTATTAACTATATAATGCCATTCAAGGTGATCTCAGCCTTCTGATTATAGTTTTCCTTGTTTTGTGGGGGGGGGGTTTGCAAAAGTATTTACTTATAACTGTACCTCTAACAACCTGTCTTGTGATCACTGATTCACTTGACAGTTCAAAATGCACTTTTAGTTACATCATTCTTAGTCCCGTTACAAAGACTATACCATGCACCTGCATTCCT